TCACTCAGTACCCTCTGATGACCTACTGAATAACAGCAGGCTGGATTTGGGTGATTTTTGTTTAGTTTTGTTGGTTTGTTTTGGTTATGTTTGTAATATTGATTCTTTTCTAGCCCTGAGAGAAAGCCTATTTTTGAACTGAGATGGACACATTGTCTTACTGTGCCTGGTAGCTGATACCTTGTATCGTTGTGAGCCAGCAGGGCATCATGTTAAGGTTATAAAAGGAGTTGCATCTTGCTGCTTACACAGTATCTCAGAATCTGCTTTTCCTTTTGACTACACCAGATGCGAATGTGGATGAAAGCATTCACGGAAGCAGGATAGTGTCCAAGAGAGTGAACATCTGTGTGATGCAGTTGCCATGTCCCATTGATTCCCCTGGAATTTGGAAAATGTGTGCAGGGCTGCACAGTGAAACCTGGAAGCCTGGGCTAGTGAAAACTTGTTTCCTGGTGGATGGGATGTGGTCACGCCCCACACCAGATGGAACTCAGTTTTCTGAGTAGAGGCCTCTAGTGACCACCTTGCTTAAGGGAAATAAGTGGTAATATGAGAAAAAGGGTGTTTTTCTTGAAAAGTTGGAAAAATGACACCATAATATTAACCAATGTATGATGTGTTAAGCATTACTTTAATGTCTGCCATGGTTACTGAGTATAATACAAGATTTTTGACTCCACGTATAGAGCTAAATGAAAATCAAACCAATGTAGAAGATGATCTCCAGGATGAAAGGATGTTTTGAGTTGATTTAAGACCCCTAATTGATGTAATTCACATGGGAACTTGCCAGAGGACACTATGGAGTTGAATGCTCCTACCAACGTCTTAAAAAGGGGCAAACCATGGAAGGGAGAGGGGAGAACAGAGGAGGGAGGAAAGCAGCAATTGGTAAAGGAATATATATCAGAAACTTGTGAATGGGCAGAGTCTTGTTAACTTGTTTTGTGGAGAGAATTCTAACTCCTCACTGGAGGTTACAAGTCTTGGTGGTTGTTTGTATTTTAGTATGTTTATTTTTTTGTGTGCAACAAATATTGTAGAAATTGCTGTACTAAGAATAAGAAAATGCCTCAAATATGTATCGAGGAGATTTTAATGGAGTGCAAGAGGTGAATTGGAAGGAAGGGGGTTAACAGCTGGTTCTGTGGCCTTTCCTCTAGCCTCAGGGATATCTGAGGCTTTGACTCTTGGTCTTTTCTCTTTATAGCATTAACTCAAAGAATTATTGGGATGATATACTACTGATTAAATAGAATCCAGCTGGGGATTATGTACAAGAGCTTAGTCTGTATGTGCATGTAATCAAAATTGGTCATTGAGTAATGAGTTATTGACATGGATGAGATGCAGCTGTCCTGAAGAATGAGGTGGGTGGGTAGTCACATGTCTGAGGGGCTACAAGGCCAGCCGGCATAAAGCTGAAGGGGGCTCAGAGCTGATGGCTTCCCTCAGCTGAGGTCATCTGTACTCAGTCTTCTCTCTTGTGAGCACACATGTCCTAAGTTCAGAATGACTATGTTTGGGAGTCGTGGGACTTCTGCAGTGCCATTGCTGTGCATGCCAGGATATTGCATGTCCTCTGTCCTTTAGTAAACTTGGTGCTGGGTGTGGCCTATTGTGTCTTATGAATTTGATTGTCCATCTGACCCCAAGTGCACTGTGGCTAGTAGAACATGGTGGACGTTGCAATTGCCTTAAACTTTATATATTTTAACTTGTTTTATTCTTAACCATAGTGTTTAATTCACAGCTGTGATGGACACTGATGGAAGATAGGAAAAATGAGGAACCTTGACGTTGAAATATATGTTTAACAAGATAAATGATAATTCCTCAAATTTGCATCAAGATTTTCTTCCCAGATCTGTGAGTTGCATTTATCTGATCGAGATCTTTATATAGCAGATCTACATGTCTCTCTTACTTAAGCAACCAGTGCTAAAGAGAAAATATGGTGAAAATTACTCCAATTTGGCTTTCTGCTTATTGGGAATAAATACTATCCACATCTGTAATGTGTTATTTGTAGAGCAATGCTTGCAAATAGCAGCCTAAAACTTTCTCTCTAAATTTGTCATTTAAAAAAATTTATGAAGATTATAAAAAGAAGCCAGTTGTTTTTTTATCTCAATATACAAGAAGTCTAAACATCTAGTATATTGACTTCTATTTGGTACTAATCAAGATTATCCAAAAGCACTTGAAGGATTGAATGTAAGTCATGAAACATTTTGAGACACCAAAGGCAATTTCATTCAAGTTCCAGCTCCATTGCCACCTCCTCAGGGGCCGGCCTGAATTACTCTACCTAATGTCTTCCCTTAGTTCCTTCCTTTTGGGTACCCTCCACCCTACAAATCAGGGGTCTCCATCTTATTACTCTCTTTTATTTTGCACCCCATGTTACCCTATAGAATGTAAGCTCATATGGGCAGAATCTGTCTTGTTTTACCGCTGTGTCCCCACAGTGCCTAAGAACATTGCCTGGAACATGATAGCCATTCCATTTGAACATATCAAATATATTTTTATTTTCCCTCAGGTATAAAAAGTAGTTATTTTGTGACAATTGACAAAACTGGAGTATGGTACGCATTTTTCCTGTAACATAGTATTTTGACAAATGCGCGATGCCAAGTATTTATATAGTCAGAGAGTATATACTCTGCTTTGCAGTTAGAGACCACCAGTGGTTCTGTTCCAGTGATTTAAATATATATTGAATTTTAAAACCAAAGGTGGTGACTGTGGAAACGCGCTGCTCAGATCTCCTGCTGAGGGGAACACAGTTGACTGGCAGCTCCAGCTGCTGCTCCTCCGGATTCACCACCGTGTTTGCACTGAAATCATGCTTCCCCTGGGCTGTTCCCAGCCAAAAACCAGGCATGGTGGGCATCCTAGTGGAATGTGGGACTTCTCTAACAGACAGCTTTTGCTTGAGGACTCCCCATGTGCTGGAACTTTCTGGGAACTACACCGTAGCCTTAGGCTCTTCCTCCCCAATCTTCCTTCCTTCCTTCTTTCCTTCTGGAAGTTCTAGCCAATGGAAGGCATTGGCAGAAGATTAGAGAATGGGAGGAAGGGGAAGTCCAAGGACCTTCTTCTCTTCTCTCTGCTTCCTGTGGCACCTCCAGCAGCATCTGTGTCTCCTCCATGTCTCCCTCTCCCTCCATGTAATGTATCCTCTCTCTCTGTGGCCCAGTCCCCTCCAGGCTGCCCTAGCCGATCCTTTAGGCACATCCAGTGGCCACTGTAATAAAATAATTTCTAGTGGCTTAGGGATTGACAAATACGGAAGTTCTCTCTCTGTTCCAGGAGAAAATTCATAAAGAGATCCTAATTTCTATAAAAATTTAATATTTTGAAGAGTTAATAGATTTATTTAATAGATTACATAAACAATGGTGCTCATACTGCAGAAAGTATGTGGACTTATTATTTTACTCCACATAAAAAAGTTAAATCCAGGGGCCAGCCTGGTGGCATAGAGGTTAAGTTTGCACACTCTGCTTCGGCAGCCCAGGGTTCTCCTGTTTGGATTCAGGGCGCAGACCTACACACCGCTCATCAAGCCATACTGTGGTAGCATCCCACATAGAAGACGTAGGAGGACTTACAACTAGGATTTACAACTAGGTACTGGGGCTTTGGGGAGAAGAAAAAGAGGAAGATTAGTAACAGCTGTTAGCTCAGGGCCAATCTTCCTCACCAAAAAGCATACCTTTAAAATAAAATTTAAAAATTTTTTTAAAAAGAAGGAGGATCTACAATTCCTTGTAGAATGATAAAGGCATCACTTAGTGTCAAGGCTGTGTTTTCAAATGAGACTAGAATTCTAAAAATAATTAAATTCAATAGATGCAAAACAAAATGTATTTTTTTTAAAAGTTAAAACTTTGCTAGAAAATGTAGGAGAGTACAGGGATAATCTGGGATGATGGGAACGGTTTGTAACTGTGTTACCTACCTATTGCCGTGTAACAAATTAATCCAACACTTAGCAGCTTAAAACACCTAACATCTATTATCTCACACTTTCTAGGGATCAGGAACCTTGGAGAGGCTTAGCTGGGTGGTTCTGGTTCAGGGTCTTTCGTGAGGCTGTAGCCATCTGAGGGTTCAAATGGGCTGGAGAGTCTGCTTCTAAGGTCACACATGTGGCTCTTGGCAGGTTTCAGTTCCTCACTGGTTATTGGCAGGAGGTCTCCATTTCTCACTGTGTGGACCTCTCCACGGGGCTGCTCATATCACAGCAGCTTGCTTCCCCCAGAGTAAGAGATCCAAGGGAGAGAGAGAATGAGAATAAATGCATCCAAGATGGAAGCCTCAGTCTTTTTCTTACCTAATTTTCTTTTCCTTTTTTTGGTAAGGAAGATTGGCCCCGAGCTAACAACCATTGCCAAGCTTCCTCTTTTTGCTTGAGGAAGATCATCCCTGAGCTAACATCTGTGCCAATCTTCTTCTATTTTGTATGTGGGACGCCACCGCAGCATGGTTTGATGAGCATCTAACCTAATTTTAGAAGTGACATCTTATAATTTCTGTCATATTCCATGCATTAGAAACAAATCACTAAGTTCAGCCTACACTCAAGGGGAAGGAAATTAAACTAGACCTCTTGATGGGGAGAGTATCACAGAACTTGTGGGCACATCTTTAATACCACAACAGTAATCAAGAGGAGAGTCTCAGGAGCTATGAAAGAAAAAAAATCTGATTATCCGAAAACATAAAACATTTGCATGGGAAAATACTGTAACAGTTAATAGACAAGAGACAACTTGAGAAAATTCTTGTATTGCAGATAAGGTAAATCTCTATAATATATAAATATATAAAGTGCGCATAAAATTGGACAAGAAATAGACAATCTGCTAGACAACTAGGCAGAGGATATTCAATCAGTCAGGGCTTTTGTTTGACTGCTGGTGACAGAGACCCACCTGTAGTGGCTTAAAGACTTGAGGGTTTGTTTTTGTTTGCTTTTGTCATAGGTCCCGAGGGAGGAGGCTCCTGGCTCTGGTTCAGGGCTGAAGTGTCTTCATTTGCTTGACCTTTGTCTTATGGTTACAAATGGCGACTAGAACTTCAGGCAAGAGCTACACATTCTCGGCCTCAAGAAGGAGATGGCAGGAAAAGGACAAAAAGGGTTTTGTCATTGGTTTTAGCCAATGACTTCTTTTTATATCCTATCCAAAAAGCTACTAGAAACAAACAAGATTGCCTACAGTATAAGATAGGATGCATCTGGGTCCAAACAACAGAAGACTCAGTTGAAAGAAAATTTTAAAAAATGAGGAAAATTCGGGGCTGGCCCTGTGGCCGAGTGGTTAAGTTCGCGCGCTCCGCTGCAGGCGGCCCAGTGTTTCGTTAGTTGGAATCCTGGGCGCGGACATGGCACTGCTCGTCAGACCACGCTGAGGCAGCGTCCCACATACCACAACTAGAAGAACCCACAACGAAGAATACACAACTATGTACCGGGGGGCTTTGGGGAGAAAAAGGAAAAAATAAAAATCTTTAAAAAAAAAAATGAGGAAAATTCTTTACATACAAGTCCTGAAGCAGGAAAGTTCATGTACCAATTCAGTGGCTCAATGTTATCAGATATCCAGATTATTTCCATGTTTGGGCCTTGCCTCCCATAGAGAGTATTCACTTTTTGTCACTAGACTGTTTGTTACCCCATGGTTACAAGATGGTACAGCTACACGCAACCCTTATCTACACAACAATGACCAAATGCGAGAAAAGGCAACTCTGTCTTCCATACCAAAAGCAATCCTGACGAGGGGAATAGGGTTACATGACTGTATGACTGGCTTGGACCAGAAAGTCTTAGCTAGTGGGCTGGTGCCCAAGGTGGGTGACACTTCTGAGATGTTGATCCTCTCAGTCCTTCGGGCAGCCTGCGTGGGACCTGGGGTGCCTAGAACCTCCCAGGCTAGTCACCTCCCAGGATCAATGGAAGCACTTAAAAGGTGCCATATAAAAAGCATATCATGTGTGCGCCTTGATATGGAAAAGGCTGGGAAGCAATGGCTAAGGTAATTTACCTTCACCCCCTGGGGTCAGATAAAAGACCAAGGCAGGCTGGCCATCAGAAACCTGAGCAACACTCTGGTTCTGTCAGCAAAGGAAAGGGGGAGGCAACTGAATGTTTGCCACACTATCAAAGAGCTAGAATGAGATGGAATTAAAATTCTAGTCAGTATCTCTAGAAACAAGACAATAGGACCACAGCTTGAAAGTGGTGAAGGGAAAGAACTTTGAGCTAGAGCTTTATGCCTAATAAAACTGCTCCAGGTTGGGCTCCGGGAAGTGGATGCTGAGATGGAGCTTAGCATAGGGGAGTTTTATTAGGGCTCAGCACCAGGGGGTGTGGGGGAGGGAAGGAAGCAGGATTAGGCAAAGAGAAAAGTTGGGCTGCCATGAAGCTCTGGCAAAGGCTTCAGCTGACTCTGAGGGGAGCTCTGAGGTGGGATGGCCTTCAGAGTGGTCCCACTAGCGTGGGGTCTTTCTACCCTCATGTGGACCAGTCATCAGATGCAGGAAGCCCCTAGGAATGGGGTACAACCTTGGCTGAGGCAGCTCTTTCTAGCCGAGGACCATTTCTGGAGAAGGCTGGAGACTGAGATATATCTGCTGGCAGCACCCTTAGTCTTGAGGGAGGGATCTGGGGGTCATGTCCCAGCCTCCAGCGCAGAGATGAACATTTATTCAGCAAATATTTATTCAGCACCTACTATGTGCCAGGCCATTCTAGGCACTTGCTGCATATCAGTAAGCAAAAGAAATGAATATCTCTGCCCTCATGGAGCTAATGGACAAATTAAAAATGTAATAAATAAGTTATATAGTTGGATGTCAACTAGCATTCAGCCAAGAAAATCAAAACCATTCTAGAATTTTCATATGGAAACGAGTTTTATACAGGGGATTAATGCAAGTACTGAGGGGCCACCCTTGTGGCCGAATGGTTAAGTTTGCATGCTCCACTTCAGTGGCCTGGGATTTGCTGGTTCAGATCCTGGGTGTAGACCTACTCACTGCTCATCAAGCCATGCTGAGGCGGCATCTCACATAGAAGAACTAGAATGACCTACAACTAGGATATACAACTATGTACTGGGGCTTTGGGGAATTAAAAAAAAAAAGAGGATTGGCAACAGATGTTAGCTCAGGGCTAATCTTCCAAAAGGAAGAAAAAAAGAAAGGAAGAAAGGAAAGAAGGATAGGAAGGAAGGAAGAGAAGGAAGGGAAGGAACGAAAGAAAGGAAGGAAGGAAAAAAAAAAGAAAGAAAAGAAAGAAAGAAAATACAAGTACTGAAAGAGTTGGGAGGCCAAACGACACCTAAGATACCCAGAGTTAGCAACAGTAGGAAGCTACTACCACTTCTAGGGCCAGAGGGTCAAAAGGAAGGGGCAGTTTTACCAGAACCTAGAAGTTGAGGCTATTGGTGGGGGCTAGAGTCTCAGTGGGGACAGCCTGGAAGGCAGAGGACCCCAGACAGAGAGGGTATAAGGAGGAAGATGGAGTCATGGAGAGGACGTGGATGCTGTTGGAGGTGCCAGGAAGCCAAGAGAGGAAAAGTACCCCATCTTTCCCTTCTTCCCATCCTTCAACTTTCTGTTGGTGCCTCCCATTGGCTGCAACTCCCAGAAGCCAGAGGGCAAGTGAGCCTGGGAAACATCGTTCCCTGTGATACAGAGCAGGGCGAGAACAATGGGGACTGATCTGAGAGCAAACCACCACTGAACAACAGTATGTTTAGAAGGTGGTAAGTTTAAGGGTTTTTTTCTTATAGAAAAAAGAAATTGTAGAGTAAAATAAAGAGAAGTGGGGGTTCTAGAGTGGAAGGAGGTAGTAAGGACGGGGGAGACCACAGAGAAGGTGACATCTGAGCAAAGAATTGAGGCGAGGGAGTGGTTGGCTAAAGGATTGTCTGGGGGAAGAATTCAGTATTCCGGAGAGAAAGAGCTAGAACAAAGGTACAAGATGAGATGGCGCCTGCCTGCCTGCTCCTGTTAGAGGCACAGCAAGGAGGTGGCTAGAACACAGCAAACGAGGTGCGGGTGGCCAGTGATGTGGCCTGAGAGGAGTGGGAGCCAGGTTGTGCACCATTGAAGAAGTGTGACTTTTACTTTGAGTAACACCGGGAGCCATTGCATGGTTTTAATCAGAGGAGGAACATTCGAATACTGCGTTTAAATGTAGGCTTTTCCAAACGTGTGGATTTAAATCATACCACCCACAGACTATCTCTGAAAAAACTGCTCGAGGCTGTAATTCAGCAAGAAGAAAAATTAGTTCGGGAGGAAGTAGAGGGATGCAATGGTGAGTAAAATCCAGAGCTGTCTACATAAGTACTAATTGAGGAAAGGTTTTAAAAGAATGATCTGGAATTAGAATTCCAGATGACTTCAATATGGAGGTAGGGCAGCAGGTGGTGGCAGGAGGAGAGAGAGAGAAGAGAACATTATGCTTCTTGCCCTGTCTTGTGGGGAAGACAGAGAGAGGGACCTTATTAGAAAAATGTATGTGGATTAAACATTTAAAGCGTAAAATGAAAGGTTAGAAGTTTAAGAGTAAATCACTAAAGCCAGCCCTGGTGGTCTGGTGGTTAAGATTCAGTGCTCTCGCCACCGTGGCCAGGGTTAGCTTGCCGGTCAGGGAACCCCACCGCCCGTCCGTATGTTGTCATACTGTAGCAGCTGCTTGTTTTGATAGCACTAACAACAACAAATCACTAAAAGAATAAATACAGAATATATAAGTTTCTAACTAGTAGAAGGAAAAAACTGGAACCAAGGAGACTTAATTCAACAAAAAGCAAGAAAAAGGTGTGTGGGTGGTAGTACTGGTATAAGACACTAAGAGCCTGGAAAAGAAAAAACAAAATTAGATAGCAGGAATATGTTAAACATAGAATTACCATTTGACCCAGCAACTCTCCTCCTGGGTATCTACCCAGGAGAGCTGAAAACATATGTCCACACAAAGCTGTACGTAAAGGTTCAGAGCAGCATTACTCATAACAGCCAAAAGATGGAGACAACCCAAAAGTCTATTGACAGATGAATGGATAAACAATATGTATACCCATACACTAGACTATTATTCAGTCATAGAAAGGAATAAAGTACTCATACATGCTATAGCATGGATGAACCTTGAAAGCATTACATTATGCTAAGTGAAAAGCAGTTATGAAAGACCACATATTATATAATTCCATTTATATGGAATGTTCAGAATCGGCAAATCTATAGATACAAAGTCGATTAGAGGTTGTTTGTGAGGGGGCAGAAGGGGATGAAATGGGGGTGATAGCTAAAAGGTAGAACTACAGAAAGAAACGAACAGCTACACGATAGTGACAGAATGATTAATTTCTCTGTGAGCTCTTGTTGGGTGTGGTGAGTTCCTCTGTATCTTTCCTAGATTCTAGCCTGGTGCAGTGTGGGGCATTTTGCTAGTTCATTCGTCAAATGTTGATGGGCGCTGGTGACACAGCAGTGAATGCAGCAGACACAGGCCTGGCCTCACAAAGCACTGCACGGCCATGGTCACTTGGGAAGTGTTCACTGACTGAGAACCCTGGGGAAACATGTTAAATCAGAAGGGACTTCCCATGAAGAGGGGGTGAGGAATGACCTTGAGCAGAGAGAAAACCAGGCTTCCATTTTAATTATGCATCCAATGCTGGTGAAATGGAATTAATTATCTTTATTATCTTTGGAAATGCTGCAGTGCACTTCCTATCTTTTGTTTCACATTCCTTGAGATAAAGGCATTCTCATAATTACTTGCAAAATGTTTAAAAACAAGGGCTGCATGTAGTCAGTGGAGAGCCAAAGCCGATAAAGATTTTCTGAGTTTGATTAGAACTGTATTTGGCCAACATTTGGTATATATAAGTACTTTTCTTTTTTTACTGCATTGCTTTTTATTTATTTTTTCCAGCTTTATTGAGATATTCTTGATATATAGCGTATGTAAGTTTAAGGTGTACAATGTGATGATTTGATACACACATATATTGTGAACTAATTATAGGTTTGGTTTATTTTGGTTTCTGCTTTGAAATATGAATTCAGGTGTCTGTAGGCTCAGTCCTGACTGTGTCTCTGATTTAATTTCTGTGACTTTGCAAAGGAGACTTAAATCACTCGTGGGTGCTGAGGGCTGTATCAGCTTCCAAAACATTGCACATCGTCAGCATCCCTTCAAAAAGAGAAAATGTAAAAAAGCACTTTACATTAAAACAAGTTCATAGATTATTTTTCACTACCCCTAGCCGTGAGTTTTTGACCTGACTATGAAAATGAACTCCAGCCAATCTACTCTAGCCCAAGTCTACTCTTTCTTTAGGGAGCCTGC